GGAGGATGGAAAGAGGGCCCAGCGGGGACAGGGGGCAACGGAGGGACAGGAGAAGCCTCGAGATCCATGGAACTGGTTCCGTTCCACGGATCACTGGAAACAATCATCCTTATTAAACTCACCACCGACCCACCCCACGGATATAAAGGTATTCTTCGGAATGATTTACCGAGAACCGTGCTCCTCCGGCCGCTGGAACAGGTGGATCTTGGCGCTATTCGAACAGAACGATAAATTTTATAAAGTAAAACCCACCCGACCGTCGATGCTTTTCTTTTTCTTTTTCTTTTTCGAGCTCCTCTTCCCGACCTAGAATCTCACCACGAAAAAAAAAACACGAAGGAAACAAAAGGGGGCGAGCGAGAATAGAAAAGTAAAAAGTACAATCTGTGCTCGTAGCTGGTAGGAGCACGGTCGAATGATTAGTCGAGCCACGGTAGCTCGAGCCACACGATTTCTAATCTAAATTAGATCTTAAGAGCTCGTAAAAGTAAGTGGCCAGCGTTCGAAGGCTTGCAACACATCCTATCTGGATATCTCATCGAGCTCGGGAAATTCGATCGAAAATCGTCCGGGGAAAATGGTCGCCTCCGGGCTGAAGGCGAAAGTTACAATTTCGATAGAACCGATCGCGCTGCTATGGTAAAGGCAGCTAATGAATATGCATCGTGTTCGTTGCCTCCTCACCCCTAGTCAATAAACCTAAGCGACCATAAAATCCAATTAGTGTGAAATTAATACCGCAACACGCCGGCTCGGAGAGCAAGAAACCGACGCCAAGGGAGGAGAGATTAATTTATATCAAAACGGCAAAAAGGTCTCGAGGGGACTCGACGAGAGGAGGAAATGACCCACAATAAGGAAACGGTAAATTACCGCCGCGAAATTGATCGAAAAAAAATCGATCGATTTCTTTATCGTGCCGCGATCTCGTCGGGACGATCGCGCCGCGGATATTGCGAAATTAACGGAAAGCGAGAGTGGATGGGACAGGGGACTCGTCGTGGGATTCCACGGACATTAGGGTTTATCTCGAGACGCGAGCCAGGACTTGGAATTATTTCGATAAGGCCCCGCGCTGGCCCCAACGGGCCCCGTCCGTCCCGACCATCAGAAGATAGCCCTTCGAGACTTTTACTCCGAGCGTTTCGTTCGTCCACGGTGACCAAAAAGGGCGAATAGAAGGGACGTGTTTATCGAACCGTCATATCGAACATATAAAACGTCTTGGGGCATCAGGAATGAAGAATGGGCATCTTGGAAAATAGATGCAGAAATTTCTGTTTGGAGTTGTTGACGAAGAATTAGTCTTATAGACTTAACTGAACCAAATTACAGAATTTTGGAATATTTTAGTAATTTGGAATCCAGTTAAGATCCGGTCGCCATTGTGCACTTGCTTCAACCTCCATTTTGTGACTCTAAAATTGCACAACGATTGCAAAACGAGCGATTCCCTGGCTCAAAGAGGCAACGATTACCCGATGAAACGCGATATCGGTAAAAATTGCAGACAAACGTCGCGTAATAACGAGGAATGATCTACGGCCGCGTCGTTGGAATCCGGGAAAACCTGCAAGATCTATCGGTCGGCGAAACAGTACGTACTCCGCCATCGATCATCGGCGTTTTTTTCGTCGGGACGCTCGCCGCGAATCGTCGTCATGCAAATTCCACGGCGTCAAAACGATGGTTTAGCGTTATTAAGTCCCCCCCACCTCCCCTTTCAGTCCGTTGGATCCAGTTGCTCGCTGGTAACGTGCCGGCAACAGGGTGTATCGCAATCTATCTATGGCGTAGCTTTTTCTTTCGTCTCGGTTCTTTTTCACTACCGTGGCTGGTTCCGTGCCACGGAACACCCGGTAGGTAGAAGTAACTAATAGCGGTGTAATCGCTCGTAATAGGTCCGGTCCTGCGCGGCCACGGTATGGGTTCGCGTAATTAACCAGTGTGGAGGGGATACGTATGCAGAGAAGAAACGAACCAGCCACCGGTACGCTATTGATACCAAACGATCGAAATTTGCTATGTACAGTTCCCTACAAAACTGGGTTTGTGTGCTTCTATTTGGACTACATGACGTTTTGAACACCCTATAAGCATGGAGTGAGGTAGCTAGGTAGCAAGGAGTGAGGTAGGTAGCTTGTAAGGAGTGAGGTAGCTAGCTAGCAAGGAGTGAGGTAGCTAGCTTACAAGGAGTGAGATAGGTAGCTAGCAAGGAGTGAGGTAGCTAGCTTGTAAGGAGTGAGGTAGCTAGCAAGCAAGGAGAGAGGTAGGTAGCTAGTAAGGAGTGAGGTAGGTAGTTAGCAAAGAGTGAGGTAGCTAGGTTGCAAGGAGTGAGATAGGTAGCTAGCAAGGAGTGAGGTAGCTAGCTTGTAAGGAGTGAGGTAGCTAGCAAGCAAGGAGTGAGGTAGGTAGCTAGTAAGGAGTGAGGTAGGTAGTTAGCAAAGAGTGAGGTAGCTAGCTAGCAAAGAGTGAGGTAGCTAGCCTGCAAGGAGTGAGGTAGTTAGCTAGCAAGGAGTGAGGTAGCAAGGAATGAGGAAGCTAGCTTGCAAGGAGTTAGGTTCTTCGAGTCAAAGAGTATATGTGATGCTGGAGTTCATATTACCCTGGGTATCATCGTCGTTTGGTGGGTTTATTTGTACCCCCATTCTTTTCGAATTGGGTCACTGTGTTGAAATTTTGCGTGGGACAAAAAAGATTCGAAATTTAGTTTCCGAGAGATTGTGTTACTGGTGTTTTTGACGTGGGAGCAAGTATTAGCAAGATATTGCGACTATAAGTTGGTTTGGGAGAAATTTTAATGGGAGATTCTGGAGGCCAAAATAAGTAATTTGTTGATTGAGGCTTTGTTAAAATTTTATTAACATTTAAAGCCCCGCCTGTAGAACGACAATCTGTGAACGTGGAATAGCGTTTCTCAGTCAGAAAACGGTGAGGCTTTCGATACGTCAGTAAGTAGAGTTTCTGATGCTGAGTGAGAACCAATATTGTGCGCACGCAGCTGTATGCAGGTTGCCTATCTACAGGCGCAACTTTTGACGTTAATAACTTTTTAACGAAGCCTCTATCGACAAATTGGTATTCTTGATTTTCGTCTTATTTTGGACTCTAGAATCTTCCATTAAAATTTTTCCTAGGGTTGGCCTAACATATTGTATATTTTATTGCTTATTATACAGTTTTCCCCGCGTTTTTTTATATTTTATTTTCGGTTCATACAATTTTCTTTTTTTTTATACAGTTTTCCCCGCGTTTTTTTATATTTTATTTTCGCCATAGGGGTTTCATTTTCAATAAACATAGCTATTTCTACACATCTGAATCAATATTTTTTTGGACAGTTTTTGAATTTAACAAACATCCATACGTTAACTTTTGAAAGTTTGAAAGTATAAGATTTTAGATTTATACAATTTGAGAATTTAAGATTTAAAATTTATAAAATTTGAAAATTTAAGATATACAGTTAGAAAGTTTGAAAATTTGAGATTTGCAATTGATAAAATTTGAAAAATTAAGATTTACAATTAGAAAGTTTGGAAATTTAAGATTTCCAATTAATAAAATTTGAAAATTTGAGATGTACAATTTATAAAATTTGAAATTTACAATTAGAAAGTTTGGAAATGTAAGTTTTCCAATTTATAAAATTTAAAAATTAGGGATGTACAATTCATAAAATTTGAAAATTTAATATTTACAATTTGAAAGTATAAAAATTTAAGATTTACAGTTTAAAAATTTGAAAATTTAAGAATTACAATTTGAAAATTAAAAAATTTGAAATCTAAAAACTTGAAAAATTGTATATTTTACAATCCCATGTAGTATCCACGATGACTTAAAAATTATTTCAAAATTCATACTCTCTCAAATAGCATATCCATGCACTATACCACTTACACAAACAATTATCAAACGTCCAAATCAAAGCAATCAATCCCTATTTTGTGACAACATCCAAAAAAAATTGTTCATCATAAATTCCTTGGACCAATACATTAAAAGACAAATTTTAACGAGAAAAAGGTCTCCTTCGGTGGCGATCTCGTTCAGAAACGGTACCATAAACCAAAGAGCAAAGCTCACGGGAGCCCAGTCACGAAATATTTCGGCTCGGTAGGAGCTAATAGCTGGCTGTGCAAGTTCCTCAGCTGTATCTCGATCCCGTTAGACGGGTAGCCTGTAACCTGACAAACGCGACTAGACACCTTCTCTATCGTCTAGACCTGCGGGAGGTACACGAGCTTCCTATCAGTCGTCTCGAAGATGCGCCGTAAACTCTCAGCGAGGATGGATGATTCGTAGAATAGGATCAACGGGAATCCCATACGCTTCGAGCATAGGGAAATTGTCGTAAAATAAAGTGACCTAACAGCGTTGCTTACCAACGATGATTCATACCAATATCGAGAAGCAATGATCGTTTTTAGGTTATTCCATATGCTTAGAAAAGCGCCATTTTGTTCACAGTTTACAGTTTAACTAACAACTCAATAATTAACTCTCAAATTGAAACGTTAAATTAAATTTAAATTGGATTTTCATTTCATCAATTTCATTTACGAATTTTGAGATTAATTATTAAATTCGAATATAAGTAGTAACACAAAATTTTAATTTGGGGAAGTTTAGAATTGTTTAAAATCACAATTGTACTATTTATTGAAGCTATTTTTTTTTGGCAAATTTTTAGTCTAATTTTCACTAATTTTCCCTAATTTTGATTAGTCGACTCCATTTATTTTGTCCACCAAACGAATTTAGTTTATATAAAATTTATATTAAATTTCAAGTTAATTATTTGCAAAAATAAATGGACTGGAATATTAAAAAAGTTTCGTTGAAAATTCCCCCTTAATAGTGGTCGATTTGTCGACTAAACGCAAAAAGCACTATGGAAGATGGTAGTCGATGCACGTATCTCGTGCACGTCGTGTATTATTCGAGTCGCGCGACAAATGTATCGAGCGGGAGCAGCGTTTCTTTGTACGTACCTGGTAAACACGTCGGGATAATGAGTTCTCGAGAAAGCTTTCTCGAGTTCCTCTAGCTGGAAGCTGGTAAAGGTAGTCCTATATCTGCGCTGCTTCCTTTTCGGAGCGAAGTCGTCGGCCTCCGCCTCGCTCTCAGGGCTGGTCGGCGCTGCTCTGGGGTGGTTGCTCTCCTCCTCCGGCCTCGCCTCATCCGTGGAGATTCCCATTTGCGCGGATTGAGGTGTCGTCGTCGTAGGTGGCAGCGCCGATTGTTGGTGAGACGGTTGGCTCACCTGGTTCGCCTGGCTCGAGCTGCTCGTGCTGCTCGCAGGACTCGTCTGCGGGACAGCTTGCTCGACGCCTCCTCCTCGCGTCGAATGATCTGCAAAATCATTATCTCTTTACCCACTCTGTACCAATTACTCGTTCGACTTCCTTAAACTACAATTTTCTGTCCTCACATCTCTGGGTTCAATCCTCACTTCTCACTTCTCACTTCTCACTTCTCATTGTCGAGAAGTGGTTGAGAATTATTCGTTAATGGAAGTGCTGGTGCACGAACGATTATAGTTAAATTAAATATTGTGGGTGAGATTAACGTTGGTCTAGGTTAGAATGACCTGCAAAATTATTGTCTTTTTACTAGAGTGTCCTAATCATTCCCCATTTGACTTCCTTAACCTAAAACTTTCAGTCCTGATATCTCTAGGTTCAATCCTCACTTCTCACTTCTCACTTCTCACTTCTCAATGTCGAGAAGTCGTTGAGAATTATTCGTTAATGGAAGTGCTGTTGCACGAATGATTATAGTTAAACTAAATATTGTGGGTGAGATTAACGTTGGTTTGGGTTAGAATGACCTGCAAAATTATTATCTTTTTACAATATCTTTTACAGTGTCCTAATCATTCCCCATTTGAGTTCCTTAAACTAACATTTTCAGTCCTGATATCTCTAGGTTCAATCCTCACTTCTCACTTCTCACTTCTCACTTCTCACTTCTCATTGGCGAGAAGTTGTTGAAAATTATTCGTTGATGGAAATGCTACTGCATGAAAGGTTATAATTAAACTGAATATCGTGGCTGAGATTAACGTTTTGGTCGATTAAGTCCTCGCGGTTTAGTTTCCGCCCGCAACCGGGATAAATATCACTGTATTGAGGCGTTGGAAGCGTTTCCTGGAACGTTAACCTCGACTCGATATGGAAGTGGTAATGTTTGAAATGTGTGAAGTAAAAGGAAATTTATTAATAATTATTAAATGTTTATTGTATGATCTTTTGGAATGTTGAGATCGATCCTAGTCTTCAAACAGTGTGTCTTGAGTCAATTTAGATTGGTTTGGAGCTTTGGGAATTGGTTTGAATTGATTGCGTTAGTCAGAAATGTTAAATCATCGAGCTCAATTGTAGAATTTGTGGCTATTATATAACTGAGTATAGTTGTGATATTATTATTAAATAGAGAAATCTCCCAGGTTGAAGCAAATTATGTCAAACCACTTCAAAGTCCCTCAAATTGTCCAAGGAAACAACAGAAAACTTTGTTTTTAGACAATTGGAAACTAGCATACTCACAATTCACTATGCAACCACATCAAACCACTCCAAACTTCCTGAAATTGTAAAAGGAAACAACAGAAAACTTTGTTCTTAGACAGTTGGGAACTAGAATACCCATATTTCCTCATGCAACTGGGTCAAACAACTCCAAGCTACACCAAAGTTTCTCAAATTATCCAAGGAAACAATAGGAAACTTTGTTTTTAGATAGTTGGAAACTAGAATACCTGCAATTTACCATGCAACCACATGAAACCACTCCAAACTTCTTCAAATTGCCCAAGGAAACAACAGGAAACTTTGTTTTTAGATAGTTGGAAACTAGAATAACCACAATTCATCATGTAACTGGGTCAAACTACTCCAAAACACACCAAACATCCTCAAATTGACCAAGGAAACAATAGGAAACTTTGTTTTTAGGTAGTTGGAAACTAGAATAACTACAATTCATCATGTAACTGGGCCAAACTACACCAAAACACACCAAAGTTCCTCAAATTGCCCAAGGAAACAATAGGAAACTTTGTTTTTAGATAGTTGAAATCTAGAATAACCACAATTCATCATGTAATTGGGTCAAACTACTCCAAAACACACCAAACCTCCTCAAATTGACCAAGGAAACAATAGAAAACTTTGTTTTTAGGTAGTTGGAAACTAGAATAACTACAATTCATCATGTAACTGGGCCAAATTACACCAAAACACACCAAAGTTCCTCAAATTGCCCAAGGAAACAATAGGAAACTTTGTTTTTAGATAGTTGAAATCTAGAATAACCACAATTCATCATGTAATTGGGTCAAACTACTCCAAAACACACCAAACCTCCTCAAATTGACCAAGGAAACAATAGGAAACTTTGTTTTTAGGTAGTTGGAAACTAGAATAACCACAATTCATCATGTAACTGGGTCAAACTACTCCAAAACACACCAAACCTCCTCAAATTGCCCAAGGAAACAATAGGAAACTTTGTTTTTAGATAGTTGGAAACTAGAATAACCACAATTCATCATGTAAATGGTTCAAACTACTCCAAAACACACCAAACCTCCTCAAATTGCCCAAGGAAACAATAGGAAACTTTGTTTTTAGATAGTTGGAAACTAGAATAACCACAATTCATCATGTAAATGGTTCAAACTACTCCAAAACACACCAAACCTCCTCAAATTGCCCAAGGAAACAGTAGGTAATCTTGTTTTTAGATAGTTGGAAACTAGAATATCCACAATTCACTATGCAACTGTGTCAAACAACTCCAAACCACACCAAACTTCCTCAAGTTGCCCAAAGAAACAACAGAAAAATTTGTTCTTAGACAATTGGAGACTAGCATACCCACAATCCACCATATATTTCACATACAGACACACGTATCTGATTCAGCGAACGTTATCGAGGGAGGTACAGTAAACTTATCCAACGTTCAACGTGTCTCTATCTTACTTTTATAAACCAGGTACATCCTTCCTTTGATAACGTTCGCTGACTCAGACCCACGCGAACGTTATCGAGGGAGCCTTTTTTTCCAGATTCTAAATTCGTTCAAAAACCTAAGAATATGTGCAGCATTTTTGTACAATTTGCACCATTTTTCGTAGGAATCAATTAAAATCGATAACGTTCGCTGACTCAGGCCCACGCGAACGTTATCGAGGGAACACTGTAGCCAGTATATAAACGTACGATAGCCCCAAATTGGACTCGTGGAATCCAGCTCTGGGAGAACAATGGTCCCCAAGAATGTCTGGAACGATGACTTGTGTAATCGTACGCCCAACGTCCAAGTGCATACCTAGAATCTACACCCATCAAACTATTCTCACATCGACGCAATTGAAAACCTAAAAATATGCCACCAAATAATTTCAAACAGACGATTTAAACCGAAAAGAATTGCTCCCGTGTTAACCCAGAAACGGTTTCGAAAACGTCGAAACCGTAAAGATCGGGCGAAAAGGGGCCCGCTGTAGGGGCCCCAGGACGCTGGAAGGGAATCGTTCTCGGCGTTCACGAAACAGTCGCTTCCTCCTGGCCGTGAAATTACAGTGTTTACGCGAATTAGATTTCGGTTTCGGTAATTTTCAGTTAATAACGAACTGGCCCAACGAACGAACGAGCATTAAGTGCGGCTCGGGGCCCATTAATGCTATTATAATGTTAAAGGCTACCTTAGCGTTCATCCTCCAACATCTCCAGGAATAACAGAGGAACCTGTACGTAGCGTATTCGCGATTTAATGACGAAATCCGAGAAAAACGAGAGCAAAGAAGTTGGTCCCAAGCTTAGATCTTGCTTATAGTTCGCATTACGTGCTGGGGCTACCTGCATTATAAACTCATTCCCGATAAATCGGACCGATTAACGTCTGCTATTCCTTCCATCCCTCGTCCTGGTCGGGTTTAAACGGATTTCGAGGCGCGATATCGACGAACTACGAATACTGGCACCTCCTGTGGATCATCGATGGTTTCTGGTTTGGTCCAGCACGGATCGAATTTCGATAATGACGAATCGCGCGGCGGATGAGTGCCGGTTCTTTGCGAAATTCATTAGAGTCGACGGGAAACCGGTTGGAAGAAACCGGGGCTAAAACAGCTTTGCAAATTGCGGACGCGAATTATCAGTAGCAGCTTGTAAGCACGAGGTGGGATCCATCGGTTGGTATGTCGAGGATATCGATCGCGCGTGAAAATGATTCTGGTCGTTACAAGCGAATCGAACGCTGTTACATGATCACTCACGGCATCGAACGTGCCGAAGTGTGGGCTTGTAGGGATCATTAATGCGGCAAGGTCGGTGAAAGGAATGATAGCACTCCGTCCTCCTTCGTCCACGCGTGTCTCCGCGCCTCTCCGTCTGCGCGCGCAGCTGGTGCGCGCGCATACGAACCGATTCGAACACGAAACGCGCGCATACAACCGATTTAGAAACAAACAGCACGCTAAAGTACGTTATTTACTTTAGTATGAGGTCATTTGGAGTGGAGGGGGAAGAATTTTGCTTTTCTGGCGTGAAATTTGTCTACGAAGTGTGTTTTTGACGATGTTCTGAACTGTAGTAGGCTTGTTTGAGGGTGTTTGACGTGGTTTGGCGCGCCTTTATGCGAAACAACGTGGCTTTTTGAGTTGCAATAGATGAGATTGAGGTTAGGTATTCGATCACAATTCTCTCTGGGGTGAGGTCACATGTGGGAGGTTGAGAAATTAATTTTCGAGATTAGTTTTAAGGTTCAAGGTTAATTTTAATTGGGAAAATAAGTTCCATGAGGTACATCGAAGTTGATCAACCTTTGTTTCTTTTTGTAGATTCTAAATTCTTTGAGAAATGTGAGTATGTGTGTAGCTTTTGTTTGCAAATTGCATGATTTTTACTAAGAATCAATTAAAACATAGTGAAAGTTGATTTGTTAATAACGTTATATTTTATGAGATATTGACTAGGGATCATCTGTCTATTTTTGTGGAAAAATTTTAATGAGGGATTCTAGAGGCCAACATAAGACGAAAATGAAGAATACCAATTTGTTGATGGAGGCTTCGTTAAAAAGTTATTAACGTTTGAAGTTTCGCCAGTACTGAATTTTTTTCTCGAAAAAGCGCAGGATTTCGGGGGTATGTCTATTGACCAAAAATTATTGTAATTGACCTCTGCAACCAAAAATAATTTTTTTAGAACGACTTGAAATTTTTTAATTTTGTCGAAAAATTTGCCCCCCTACTCGAATTTTTTTCTCGAAAGTGACTAGCAATTCGGGGGTATGTCTATTGACCAAAAATTAGTGTAATTAACTCCTCTAGCTAAAAATAA